TTATATTAATTATTTATTATTAATAATATTAAATTAATTAATATTAAGACTAGCAGCCCTTTTTTTTCAGCATCCCACTTTTTCTGTTAACTGTAGACATTTCAGTCTTTTTGAAAAGGGTATATCCCCAAAAATGTTCTTTTTCTACACAAAACACCGACAATTTACTTAACCGATTGAAATAAACGAGACGCAAAAAACGCGTTTAAAAAAATAAAATTGAAAATTTGGTTATTGTTTTTGTTTAGATTAAATGTGTAAAATTATTTTTAGATATTTTTAAATAAAATAACTAACAATTCTTTTGTAAACCCATTCTGCCGCACATATCAACGAAAAATATAATTGTAATAAGTTTGTCTTACTACTCCGATGTTGTCACAGTTATGATAAAGATTTCTACTCATTACTAGTGTCTGGGAAAAAAGTGGTCGATTATGTTTCAGACCTAAAGTTAAAATCGCATAAGAATAGTTTTAAAACCTAGTGTCTGATCTCTTGCTGTAATTCATGATTCGGCAAGAATTGCTTTTTTGCACTGAAATATTTTTTGGCAAAATGAATTTAAAACTCCCCTCATCCTCGGTCTTTATTTAGAACATTAGTAAAAATATATAGTTAAACAATTATAAATATATAGTAAAACGATATAGTATAAATATTTTTTTTTAATTTAATTTGTTTATTAAAACAACATAATAAAATTAACCATACTATAACTAAACAAATTAAACAAAATTATTCTTTTGTATTATTGATTATAATTATTTTTGTTGTATTTAATAGTACATTATTATAATAATATTGTATAACATTTTAATAACATTTATTTGAACATTAATAAACAAAATAACATAATAAATATATAGTATACATACAATATTTTAGTAGTAAAAATGAGATAAAAAAAGGCAGATATAGGAGGAAATATATTTTTCCCTTTTAATCAAAACAATAAATTTATAATACAATTAAAACTATAATAAAAATGTAGTTAAAACATGAACAAATCCGAAAGTGAATTATCTTCCCAAAAATGATAGGTAATAAATGACCAATTTAACGGGATTAATAACATTTTTATAACAAAAATACAAACAAAAAACAATAACAAAACTAAAAACAAAAAATACAATATGTCAATTAAATACCATAACACAATTTGTCAAAATCGTTCTTTTAACAAAATTGAAAACAAAAATACAATTGTTATCAGAAACCTTAGATAACAAACAAAAAACACAATTAAACATAATAATGTAAACAAGTCAATAATACATAATTTGCAAATTGATACTCCATCCAAACAATTTACTAAAGTATTTAGCACTCAAACATAGTACACCTTTTCATCTCAACATTTTAACTTAAAACTTTTCTCGCTAAAACATATGATGTTTGTGTGACATTGTGTTTTTTCCTTCGTTCCCACTTAATTTCTTTTTTTGCTACAATGCCGAACACCTCGGTACACGTTCCAAGACATGCAAATCAAGCACTTCCCACCAATTCAACAGTGTTGCATGTCTTGGTCTTTACCACTTTTTTTCCAAACACTACAAGTTTTCTCGAATATTTTTCATACATACAATACATAAGCTACAATTCCTCATTAAAAATAAAAACTCTCCTTTCAAATAATGGTATTGCAAAAAATATTGCCTCATTTTATTTACACTGTCGTTTCACTCTTAATCATAAGTCCTTCCTTTTGCTTAATAAGGCATTTTCCAAATTTTTCATTCCAGTGTTTGTCTCTTTGGTTCTGGATATAAAACAAACAACAAACAAACTGTTCAGGTTTTCAGTCGTATTTCTCTTGTTTCCTTGTTGCGAAGCTTAAAACACTTATATAAACCACTGAGAGAGTCGTTACCAATGAATAAGCTCAGTAAAATGTATTATTAAAGATTTCCTTTAATATCTATTGTTTCGTATTTTTTATTTTGTCTTTTATGAGATAAATTATGAGAATTTACTAATTTTCTTTAAAAGGTATTTTGAAAAATAATGTTAAAAAACATTAAAATTGTTTTTTGTCAACCAAAGAAATAAGTTAATTTGACTGTAATTATAAGTTTGATTAAAAAAGTAATTAATTTGATAATAAAAAACACAAAGTTAATAAAAATTTAGATAACAATGATTAAATTTATATTATTATAAATATATTATTAAACATTGTTTAACTTAAATTTTTTAGTTTAAAATAAACTATAAAATATAGTTATAAATCTATTATTTATGGCAATTATTTTCTTAAGACATCAATCACAATTCAAATAATTAATCGAAAGAAAAACACCAAAACAAAATATGAAAGAAATTGATTTTTATACATGTTAAATAAAACATTAAATTTAAATAATATAATTAAATAACAATCACATAATTTGTGTAATTTATTTAAAAACTATAATTTATAAATAAGAAAATAAACTCGACAATTTCTAACAATTAAAACAAAACAAATTTATTATTCATAATTATTATAAATTGTTATCACTATTATTGTTGATATAATAACAAATATTATTAACAAAAATAATCAACAATATTTTTAACATATCACTGATTTTAATTTCGGCTTAAAACAAATAGATTTGTAAATGAATTTGACAAAACTTTTTTAAGCATTTTTATAATTAATAACTAATAATTTAATTAAAAATAATTATATCTTTTAAATTGAAAATAAATATTTTTAATTTACTCAATTTAAATTTTATTTTAATTTATTAACTCACAATTATATAACTCATTATTAATTCTACAAATCATAAGAAAATATTAATAATTAATGAATAAAAAGCTTAATATGTGAATTTATGATATTTTTATTGTATTATTCATTATATAAATTAATGGTTATTATATATTTTTATCTAGTTTTTATAGACAATAAAATAACAATTTATTAAATTATTAATTTTTAGAATTTAAATTATTATTTTAATGTACAATTATTAATCATATAATATATGTAAAATAATAAAATAACTGATTAATTCAATATTATCATTTTAGTTGGATTTACAGTCTAACCTCCAAAAGCTGTACTTCTTACAAGCAAGTTATTTCAAGAGCGGCCGTTTTAGACTAAAACATCTCTTATGGTAGTGCTCTATAGCGAGGTTTTTGAGGTTTATTTTGCCAAAAATGCCCGCTTTTGAGAGAAAAAAATAATTATAATATCAATTCCTGAGATGTTGGATTTACTTAAAAAACCATTGGATGTCTTTAAGAAATATTAAATAAAACATAGATATGTTTGTGTTTTATATACTTAATAGCTGTTTTAATAACCTTTTTTATTTCGAAACAAAGTGATTTTTGTTCTCGTTGTTTGTGGCAATTATAAGAAGTGATTTTGTTGCCCTAATTGTGTTTAAAGAACCCAACCTCTTGTTTTACTTGATTATGTCACATGTTGTAATCACAAAAAATCAAATTGAACTATAAAATATAATATATTGATGAATTACTATTCATAAAATATATTATAATATTGTTTTGTTATTGTTATGATTAAGTGTGCAATATTGATATCACCAAGTTTTAAATGTATTACATTTCGATTCAATATATTTGTTCAATTACACACGATATAAGAATGGTGTTATTCAATGCGATAAGATTAACGCTAAATAAAATATAGAATGTTAATAATTTATATTAAACTATCCAACTCTCTTCGTACTTCAACTTGGTGTTATTATTCGTGTTTGTAATTTAACATTTTAAACTATCTGCAAGTAGCTACTCGGATCACTTTATTAATAGCAAATTTACTCTTGTAAATACAAAAACGTTATCAACAAAAGTGTTCAAACTTCTCCTTCCTTTCCATCCATAATTTTAAATTCACAGTTTATATTTTGATATTATTTTTAAACAATTATCTCATATTTTATAAACTAACCAAAAGGATAATTCAGTGGGTGTTAAGAAAAAGGGAGCTAAAACATAATTTAAGTTTAATAAAATTTAATTATTGTTGGTTTTCTTAGACACGATTTTTTAAAAGAAAACAATTAATATAATATACTATAATAACATATTATTACCCATAATTAATAATTATTTTGAACTTGATTAATATAATTTATTAATTGTTTGAAATTGGAGAGTGATCAATGCTAACCTTGAGTTAAACTCGTTGATCATCTCTCCCCTTGCCTATTCAAGGTGATGGGTGGGGGTTTTTTCAAATTTATGTCAGCAAATCAAAAATACAACAATAAAAGATTTAAACAATATGTATCGATATATTAAATATGGTAATTTAAAATTATCAATTATAATACAAAAATAATTAAAAACTCGTTTAAACTCATTTAAATTCTAAAAAACACTTGTTGTTCTTTAAACAAAAGAACAGACGTTCAAATGCAGTTTCGAGCTTCATGTTTCGAGAGCGCATTTTACGAAGTTTTGAGAAAAAACGTTCAATTCCAACCGATGTTGGAAATACACATACGATGATGTGTACAACACTAAGTAAATTGGTTAATCTATGTTCTTTAAATTCATCATAAATATCCAAGAGTGTAAGTCGACTTTTATTCTTCGTGATTTTTAAAAGTTTCTGGTGAAAAGTACAATTTGGCGTTTTTATTTTTTTTAGAATTAATTTTTTTCTTTTGGTGTTTTTCTCCATAATATTTCTGCCAACACACATATTTCATGTTCAAGTTAAAAATCAAAAGTTTTAATTGCTGTTGTAATGTTACTTGAAACACATTGTGTTGTCAATATTTCATTTGGCGAATAAAACAATTGAAGCAGTTCTTTAAAAAATCATAATTGTGATTTTTTCTAAATACACTTTCGTCAATTTCACCACTGTGCCAATTAACAAAATGCCTTGCTCTTATCATATTTGCGGAATGTGAAATTTTGTTAAAACGAAGGTGAATTTGAATTTGTAGTCTTTTTAAAACTTTTGTAAGAAACAAGTCGGCAGTTTCAAGGTAATCCTTGGCTTCTTTGAATTCGTTTTAAACACCACTTTTAACTTCATTTAGTAAAATATCAATATAACTTTTAAATAATTCAAGGCGTTCAACATATTCAAACAAAAGACAGTCATCATCTTGCAATAAAGAAACGAGAGTAAGCAATATTCTAAATACTTCTTTTGCATTGAAAAATATTTTCTTGATGTTTTCATTGTTTATATTATAGAGAATTCTTTGAACTGGTTCTTCCTCTGCCATATCACTTGCGTTTTGACATTGTTCTGTTACTTCATAATCATTTTGAGTACTTTTGATAAAATGTACACCATCTTGGCCAAACACAATGCCATTTTTATCGAATTCTGTCATTAGACTTTCAAGTGGTTCTCCAGTACTCAAATAATTTGCAACTTGTTCATAATTATTGGTGATATCTTCAACGTTTTTGTATATATAACACCAACGAGTAAAGGAATACGTTGCTTTAATTCTGTGTTCAATTCGGCAATGTTGATTATAGTCAGACATACTTCGTTTTCTACAGAACCATTGACATAATATTTTCAACATTTTTATCTCGGGCTCCTTATCTAATCCTTCACCAGTTAGAGCTACACAATGTGCACTACACCAAAAGTTTTTCATTTCTGTATCAATAAGAGGTATACCCGAAGGTTCATCTTTGTTGATTAATTCATTCATTTCCACTGAATGTCCTCCATCCAAACCAGAACACACTGATGCGCCATCTGTTGTACAGTTGATAATTCTATAACAGTTAAATCCAAGTCTGGTAATTTTATCAACAAGCCACTTTGCTAGCGTTTTGGCATCTGTTGATCCTTTGTATTCTTGTAATAATAGTGGCATTGAGTAGACAGGTTTACCTTTAACTAAACGCACGAAAACACAAAATATTACTTGGTCACCTTTCGTGGTTGAATCGACAGATATTGCAATACACTTGTGAAGGTCTCTTTCTTCTTTAATTTGGTTTCGTTGGGCAGTGTTATTAGTCATCACTTGTGTCTTGCTCGTTTTTGCACTCAATGCCAACGTCTTTGCACGATTCAGGGTATCTCTACTAAATGCTGCATGTGACATGAGAATACACCTTTTAATTGTTCGAATTTGTTCTTCGCTCATATGTGAAGAAACAGCCTCATTGTTCATTACATAGTCAACAACCATTATTTGCATTACCATCACACTTGAAAGAAACTTTTTGTTTGTGATTGTTCCAATGTCTTTAAATAGATAATCGTATGCTACAATGAAACGCTCCAATATGAAACTTGATGTTTTATCATATGAAAATTTGCGCACACTTTCACACACAGCTTGAATGTTTAAATCTTTGTAGCCAATAACATGGTAGGTGACAAAGGCCCCATCCTCGAACGCTTCCAA